AGAATCAACTACTACTTAAAGATTTTATTGATGATTAACCACGTCTGGGCATGGCAGTGAACAAGCTGCCAGATCAGTATATGGGTAGGGCATAGCACCCAGGTTTTCCCAACATTGCTCTTTAGGATTATAGCAATGCACCCACTTGGTATCCCTTGCTGTGTTTGCTGAAGAACCTCCTACTACATACAATTTACCATCAAGTACAGTTCCTCCTGGTGATAGATGAGCTCGAGGCAGAGTGGGAAACGAGGACCAGGAGTCCTGAGTGGGGTCATACAGCTCACACAAGAGCTGATCTCCAAAGCCTATCCAGAGAGGCTGTAGCCCTCCAGCTACTACCAACCGCCTTCCTAAAGCTAACATTGTATGGCCTGCACGTCCTGCTCCCACGGTCATGGGTGATCTGGGAAAACAGCCACGGGAAGGATGGTAGCGCCACATAGATGAGAGGCAATGGTGATGGGAGTCAGAACCACCAGAAATATAGATCTGCCCATCCAGAACAGCTGCAGCATGGCCACAAACAGCTGTGTCCAGAGGGTGAGCCAGCCTGCAGGACAACAACAGCCAAATGAAAAGAATTTTTTTTTTTGGGGGGGGGGAGAGTTAGTCCGAGTAAGATAGACACAGAACTCTTAAACTAACCTTTTCATAGTGCTTCAAATACATTCTTCCTACAAGAGCTCAAGATATAAGATATCAATGAATAAAAAAATGCCATAACTTAATGTATTCACCTCCAGGTGTTCTCCTCAGGACTGTAACATTCCACAGCATCGTGGTATTGGTGGTCATTGCGATTTCCCCCAAGAGCAAAAACCTTCCCATCTAGGCACAGTGCAGAGAAGTAGTCGCGTTGATGCAACATATCAGGGAGCTGTTCCCATTTGCACTGTGTCAGGTCAAACCTAAGGGAAATGGGATTGTGCTTGTCATCAGTTAGGACTGAGCCAGCTGATACTAATTTGCACCAAGTGGCAGGATTGCTTTCTGATTGCCAGAGGTGGAAAAAGTACAGATATTCTGTACTTAGAAATTAGATAGATACTAACTGCCACGGTCCTGGGTCGGTGACACAGTGTTTTGAGTTTTGCATTCTTATTTAACTTTGATTTTGTCTCGGTCTCCCCTGTCAGCTGTATCCCCTTGTCAAGTCCGCATCTATGTGATATGTTTCCTGTTTTACTTTGTCTGTGTCTCATGTCAGTGGGTCTAGTTTGGCCTCCCCTGTTCTTGTTGTGTTTGATTACTCCCAGCTGTGCTCTCCTCCTGTGTCCCATTCCCCTGTTATCCACCTGTGTATTTTAGCCCTGTGTTTCACTCAGTAGGGGTCGTGTTGTCCCCTCATACTGTGTGTGTTTCCCTCCGTGCTCCTCGTCCTTGGTCTCTTGCCTCCAGGTTTCTTAGCGTTTCGTTTTAGTCTCTAATTTTGGTTTGTTTTTGGAGTTCTGTCCTGTAACTGCAATAAAGCAGCCTCTTTGAGTTTACTCCTCTGAGTGTCCTGCATTTTGGGTCCTACATCCTGCTTGCCACAGCCGTTTCATGACGCTAACAAATACGGCAGTAAAATTTAAAGTAATGAATCAACCTCTTTATTCTAGTAATAAAAGGGGGAAAGTACAGGCTATGAAATGTACTCAAAGTAGGAAAATACAGCAAAAGTCGTTTCTTATAGAAAAATTCTATCATCTGATTTTATGCAAAGGCAACTGAACCATATTAAAATTGCAATAAAATAATATTAGTAAAAGCGAATGTAGCTATTATTCAAATCTAAACTCAAATTAATGTACTCATTTTTATTCTGTAATGTAGGACACCAGCAGAAAGAAAGTAAAAAAAAAATAACTATTTTTCTGTTGCCTTCATTGTACGTGTACTTTCCCTCCACATCTACACAGGAAGATAGTACAATCAGTACAATCAGGGGTAAAATTGAGATCTAGCATGTGGGGTAACCACAGTTTGCGGTGTAGTAGCTCAGCATGGGGAAAAGAATCGCAATACACAAGAGGTTTTAAGAGGACAACACCCAAATTAAAAGGAAATTGAGGCGGGGCAAGACAGCAGTTTTACAAGATATCTTGACCTATTTCTATTTCCTATACTGACACTATACTGTACATTACCTTTATACAAGACTCTATAAAGCTGGTATAATGGTGTAATTCAGTGACTTAATCTAAGCATTATCAGTGTAAATACAAATTAGTCTACTACACTTGATGTAACCTAATACTGACCAGCCACTGTGCACCAATAAAAATAAAGTGAATTCATAATAAATTCACCACATTGCTGGAAACTAACCCATTTACTGTGGACAACACCACCCAGTATTTTCATGCAACACTTGCATAACACAAAGTAACTATAGCTCAGTTTGTTTTGCAGGACATTTTGCAATATAAAAATACAAGATCTATTAAAGCAAATCTTATATAGATCCAGTATGTGATTTGAAATTAATATTGCTTCAGTGTCCTTCTTTTCTGTATTGCTAGCTAAATGCTCTGAAGTATTGAAGCCACAACAACACACCTGCACTCCTTCCAGCTCACTTTGAGTTCCCAGTATAAATGCTATGTTATACCACTGAACCTAAAGTAACCAGCCTGTTTTGAAAATGTAGAAAGTGAAGTTCCTCATTATTACACAACCTAATTTATGAAAATCTGTGGTTTCTTGCATGTATGGATTGGATGGCTTGTTATTGACATCTGGTGAGAATTTCATCTCAATGGTAACGTGTAAAATACTTATTTTACCCACTCTCATGGTGCTGCATATATTCCATAGAAATTTTGGTTCACTGTGACATGATAGCGATAGTACTGAGGTAGGCCGTGATGTTTAAACATTGCCCAAAGTGTGGAAAGAAATCTCAATCGTACCATTACACCATCCCTCCTACCTGGCCAGCATGCAATGGACAATTAGGTCTGCAGAATGGATCATAGGTACTGATTTTCCCTCTATCCAGATCCTTTGAAGGTCCAGGGTTAGATAATGGGCATAAAACATCTTTGCAGAGCGCTCACATCCCTGAAGAACATTTATGCCCCTAGACTTCCCTCACTCTGATGAAATAATCCACTCATGTCATTCAGTCATATGCATATTGCACTACTCAGTTTTGCACTATAGTTTGTATAATTTCTAATTTCTCACTTGTTTTTTTTCTCACTTTTTATCTCTCTCTCTCTTTCTTTAAACTTGGGCAATTAACAATGATTTTGATTCAATACAGATCTGCCCAGACAACTGGACCTCACTGGATATTTCCTTTTTTGGGGGGTCTTTTCTGTAAACTCTAGATGTGAATGTGCAGGAAAATCCCACTAGATCAGAAGGTTCTGAGAGTAAAAGACATGTAGTTGTAGTTACAGATTAAAAAGCTACATTTAACTAAATTTACACAGCAGTTACGCAAACATGCACACACATTTCTGCAATTCATTCAAGGAGGAAGTTGCATATTGTATCAGTTCAGTGTTTGTGTGAGTTACTTTAAAAAAAATCTCTTCTGCCAACGACTGTGCTGTTGATGAGCTCTGAACTCAAACAAAGCTGTTAATATCTTGACAGTTTATATATCAAGCACGTGTACAACGTACAAGAAGAACTCTTTTGCAAAACCAACCACAAACACCTCTGATGTCTGTATGACATTTGTGACCCACACAACACTAACCTCACTGCTGACTTGAGGATGTCCAGTGCTCCGTAGTATTTGCGTCCTCCCAACACATACAGTTTGTTGTTCAAGAGACAGACACAGTGTCTGAATCGCGCAGGTTCAGGAAACTTTGCAAATGGTTTCCATTCTATGCTCCTTCTTAAACCGGGCCCACGGTGGAACTGTTGAGCAAACCACAGGGCCTGGCTGGGAACCCTCTTCCTGAATTCATCATCAACAGTGTCCCCACCTACCAAAACCAGGACCTAAAGAAAAGTGGTAATATTGCTTAAACGGACATAGCTTTAATTGAATTCCAAACATCAGTGAAGTAAAATAGTATCAACCTGGTTTTTGGTGCGAGGATGATATTTAGGCCCTCTGTAATCCCCTTCAATGAGACTTTGGAGGGCTCCCAGTGTTTTCCTTGCACCAGGGCTCCTGAGTAAGATGCTGCAACTAAGGGCCTCCTGAAGTTCAGCATAGCTGAAGAGTGTGATCCGAACATGAAGGAGCAGGCTGGACAGGCATTGGAGTCTCTCTTTAGGGTTGTCCTCCACCCAGCTCACTACTGCCTTGAACACCACAATCTAATTATAAAGAAGAGAAATGCTTTAGAAATATTATTTTACAAAATAAACAATAAATTGCATAAATAGCCTGTGATTACTACTCCAACTGTCCTTAAGAAAATCTATTCATTTTAAATTTGAGTTAATAATTTATATTTTTTTTCACATATACAAACTGAATATTTTCAGTTACAACTACTGAATGCTGCACTTTGGATGGTGTACAATTGTGAGCAATGTCACCTACACAACATTTTGTGAGCAATACATTAGGCTAATTGTATTTTCTCTTCCATTTGTAAATACAAATAATTAATATTTTAATGGTCAAACTTTGCAGTTATAAAGTATGTAAAGACCTCCAAAACAGCACTGAATATAAATGTGTCTTATTTCAATTTTTTGTTCTTTTATATAAGGCTGTTGAACTGTAAGCAGAAGTAACGCATTAGTTGTGAAGCTAAAAGCCTATAAGCTACTGCGTGTTTCAGGTTCTGCCACAGGTTTCTTCCTTTTAAAAAGGAGTTTTTCCTTCACACTGTCTCCAAGCACTTGCTCAAAGGAGACCGTTTCATTGTTGTTATCTCCCTGTTGTTATTACTATAACAGGATCTTTACCTTACAGTATAAATTGCTTTGAAGTGATTGTTACTGTGATTTTATGCTATATAAATAAAAATGAAATGAATTACAAACCCATTGCATTGCACATGGATAACAGCTGTTATCCCTGGCATTACTTTTGGAACAGATAAAATGATTGAGAAATTTTAAAAAAAGTTAGATATGTTAGACGAAAGGAGGAACACATGATGAGAAATTTAAGCTAAACACAAAAAGAATGACTGACCACCAGAAATAAAAATACTACCTCACTCTCTACAGACAAGGAGTCCTTCTTAAGAAGCTTGTCAAGGAGGTGAAAGGGAATATCCTTGAACTTTTCCCCATAAGAGACGCACTGGAAGTGGGCTGCAATATACTCGTCGGCTGCCTGCCCTAGCTGGACCAGCCCGTAGGTCTCAGCCAGGACCAGCACATCTAGACATGTGCTTTCATCCATTCTGTCCTGCAGGAACTCAATGCACAGCGACAGCGCCCCCTCCAGCTGGAACTGAAGCATTGCACATGTAAGCTCCCAAATCCGACTCCAGTTCAGTCTGAGCTGACCGGTGTAGATGAAATAGAGCATGGATTCAATCACCCAAGACGACACACCTCGCAGGCACACGACTTCCTGGCAAGACTCCCGTAACCCTCCGCACAGCAATGCCCGGAAATAGTCTCCAGCTGCTGCTAAC